ATGTTGGGATTGCAGATGTGAGCCATCAAGACCAGCTTGTATGGTGCTAGGGACTGAACCTAGGGCTTCACACGTGCTAGGCAAACTCTTTACTGACAGAGCTACATACATGTCCAGCCTATGCTTTGTTTGTTGAGACGGAATCTCATGTAGCTCAGCTTGGCTTTGAATCTGCTCCTAATTGCTTTCGCCTCCTAAGGGCAGGAGCTACATGTGTGCTCCCAGCTGTTCACACGGGTGCTGGGGGTGGGTGGGGCACCGGTCCTCGTGCTTGAGAAACCAGCTCCCCAGCTCCTCTGTCCACAGTCTCTGCTCGGCCCCCAGTTCTGCAGTCTGAGGTCCTTGAGGCCCTGTGACTTCTATGCTCAGGACACCAAAGGCGGAAACAGACATGACTGCCTGAGCTGTCCTCTGGAAGAGTCAGCCTGTTTGCTCTCTCAGATGGTTGGGATTCAGTTCTTGCGGCTGAAATTCCTGTTTCCTTATTTGGGGACATGAGGTGATTGTCTCCATAGTCAGAAATGAGAAGGCACTGAACTGGGCATCTGGAAAACAGTAGCTGAAGCTGTGACTGGCGTCTGGATAAGGACTGGGCAGACACGGGAGTGCTGTGGGTGAGAGGACCCAGAGACAATGCTCAGCATGCACTAACCCTTCTGAAAAGCCAATCGACTGATTGGGGCTTCAGTGGTGGAGGAAAAGCTGGAATGCTGTAAATTCAGAGTCAAACTATCCTTAGCCACCCTTAGCACTCTAAAAACCCATCTGTTGCTTTGCTCCATGCACTGGGTAAATCTCTAAAATGTACAGGCATCGTGTGCACACCAACCAAGAGGTTGGGAGTGCCACCAGATAGCACCTGAGGCCTGTAGCACAGATTTACCCGTTGGGCTATGACCTGTCCACCTAACATTGCCACCAATGCATTCCAGAACCATCTTGATTTATGGCTTCCTTTGTTCGGTTTCCATAACAACTCCCTAATATTGCTCTCGCGTTGCAACTGGAATGTGAGGTGATGTAAATATGCGTTCCCAGGCCACAGGCCCTGGTATTTGGCTCCAGGATGCATTGTGAAGGCCTTTGAGGAGAGATCTGTTTTGCACGGACCATGCTCTTCGGTCCAGAAAGAAGAAGGAAGGGAGAAGGCTCTATGACTCACAGGGTAGGGAGGACAGGGCTATGAGAAATGTCAACACATGATCTGGGCTTCCTGTGACTAAGCGGGCAAGGCAGGCTAGTGCCTTGTTAGTTTGGGAAAGAGGATGGGCAGTTGGGGAGTGTGCCAGGCGTGGGCAAGGGCTTTGCTGACCTCCTCTGTCTGCTCCCGTCTGTCCACAGCAGGCTACAGAGAAGTCTGGAGATCCTTTTAAAATTAATTAGATAATTGACTTTATTATAGCCCAGGTCAGATATAGACCAGGCTAGCCTCAACTCTCTGTGCACCTGAGGATAGCCTACCACCTCCACTCTCCAAGTGTGAGACACCCCCACTCCTAGCTCCCTTATAAAACTAAACATTTTTTCACAGTTCACATCATGTGGTGTTTGTATTAAAAGCAGTCAAATAGAAATAAGCAAAAGGAAGGAAATGGAGGAAACCTTCACTGGTCCCTTTAGAGGAGTGGTTCTCAACCTATGGGTCACAACCCCTTTGGGGCCAGGTTTCAGATATTTACATTATGGTTCAGAAAAGTAGCAAAACTACAGTTATGAAGTAGCAATGAAATAATTTTATGGTTGGGGGTCACCACCACGTGAGGAACTGTATTAAAAGGCATTAGGAAGATTGAGAACCACTGGAACACAGGACTCAAAGGGTTAAAAGGAGGCATTGACCTTGGAGAGAGGAGAGCACTCTAGGACTATGCTGAGGATGTGGGCTCTGGCAGGAACACAGAGTGTGCAATGGCAAGGACACAGAATGTGCAAAGGCAGGGACACAGAGTGTGCAATGGCAAGGACACAGAGTGTGCAATGGCAAGGACACAGAGTGTGCAA